CCTGGAGAAAGTGAGTGGGCCAGGAAACCATTAGTCACAGCTTCTGCATATCATTGGTGCCACACAAGAAAAGGTTCTAAAATCATGAAAGAGAGATCAGTGCCAGAATTAAGGGACCCTAAGCCACAGCAGCTCCTGAGCAGGGAGAAGACCCACCCCTGTGTAGAGGAAGAGTCAGCTTTTCTTCCTAGGCTGCTTTTAGAATTCCTAATAGCCCACCTCGCCCACAGTGGCCCATGCTTTGCAGCTTCCCAGCATCCCAGTCCCACCTCCGTTCACATCTTCTAGAACGTTCTACAAACCACAGTGGCATGCTTCCAACAAAACATATTCAAGAGTGTTTTTCTCTCTTAGTTTATAAATATTATTTTAGCTGTCAAGCTGGTTGCATTCCTTCAGATGCAGCCAGTTTTATGCAGGTGGGAAGGAGTTTCTTGACAAGATTCTGCAAATGAATGCTTAAAATGTGGGGGGCCCTAACTTGATTATATCACTTAGGATGATACATTACTTTCTATAGATTGTTCCTGAGAAGACAGGAGCAGTATTGTGTGTGCTATGTCTTGGATTTTCCCAGTAAGAGCCTGTTTTCATGCACTTGTTTGAACACAGTTCTGATCTTACTTATAATGGCCATAAAAAGGGGAGAATGAAAAGCTGTGAAAGTAGGAAATGCAGAGGGTGCTGAAAGAAAACATTACTGGCAGGACAGTCACGAGCCTGATGGGATGTAGGAAAGGGCTATGTCGTCTCCTAGGAAGTTAGGGGATCACAATGGACTTTGTTTGCTGAGGAAGGAAATGGAAATGCAGCTCTAGCAGCCTCATCTGTGCTCAGCCAGAATGCTGGGGGCATGGGACCTGTTTGCGTATGTTTGCTTCCTTGGGAACAGCACACTCTGTTATGGTGTCATTCGCCGAGATGACCTAGTGCACTTTGACTGTTAAGCAATGTATTGTGGCTGTAGTCAAGGTTAGTGCAAGGGAGGAAACATGCCCAGGAAGGTAACTGTTTCCATTTGCTATCTGTGCTTCTGTCAAAAACTTGCTAGGACATTTAGTAGCCAATAAAAAAGAAATTCCTTGTTTTAACCTGATTCAAGGACTGTAGGTTTCAACTTGTTCATGTCACCATTTGGGAAACTCTAGTAGTGACCCCACTTCTGATAAGTGTGTCTTTTGGAATCCTTGCAAGGACTGTTGTTCCTGATTATACCCTGGGGAACTGGTGAAATAAATGGAACAGAAAAAGTGAATTGCTCCAAATTCCTGTGGGAGTCAGCAGAAACTAAAAAGCACCTAGACATTCATTGTAAGTCTTTATTTTGAAATTGTAAGAAGGTGGCTCTGAGATTTAAAGAACCAGTTATGAAATGTATCACCAATGGAATAAAATTTGCCTTATACCTTTGATCCTTCTTATCTCTTGAGTAAAAGTCCCTGACATCCATCCATCTGCCTATTAACTGTAAATGTGTTGCTCAGGATAATAACACATTCTTTGATATATCAGCACTAGGTAAGAAAATACTTGCAAGTTTCCAAACTTTTTAATCATCTCTAACATTGAGGCTCAAATGTAAAACATTTTTTACTTAAACATTGTTTCTTTATTTCACTGTGGAGTCACACGCATCCAGTAATGCAAATTATATATTCACTCATCAGTTCACATACTCATTCATTCAGCAAACATTAACTTAGCAACTCCTCCACTGGGAGGTCTGCTAGTTCAGGTGGGGTTGAAGCAGACACAGGGTTGTCAAAATCAGGTGGAGTAAAGTTGTACATTCACTTATTTTTCCAGAGATTTTTTTTTTTTTTCTCAAAAAAAAAAAAAAAGGAGAAAGCAAAGATCTTTTTGTGGTTCTAGGACACAGTCTCTCTCAGGGACCTGCTCAAGTCCACATTGCCAAGGTGTTATTCTTGCCTTACAGAGAGTCCCAGCTTCTTGTGTTCAACTTTACATATATGTCGTCTTGCCTCTTCTCCAGAGAGGTGAAAGCCAGGAAGACACTTTTCTCCACGTAATGTTCTGAATGGTCTTAAAGATGGAGCTTCAACCACCAGTCTTGAAAAGTGAATGGCTTGAGAGGTCCAAGAATTTTGTGGGAATCACAAGCATCCATCACAGAAATGACAAGTGTGGTAACTGTTGGGGCCACCTGGTGACCTAAACCAAGGGGTTCAGTCACTGCAGCGTGCACCTACAGAATAATAGCAAGCTGCAGTTGCGTAATGGAACAGTAGTTCTCAACCAGGGCAATACCCCCACCCCCAGGGGATGTTTGGAAGTGTGTGTGTGTGTGTGTGTGTGTGTGTGTGTGTGTGTGCCAGGGAGGCATTTAGTGAGATAAGATTGAGGATGCTAAATACCTTGCTAGGTGTCATTTTGCCTCACCCAGGATTCTGTCCTAAAAAAGCTGGTCACCGTCATTACAATAAGATCAGTCATCAAATCTTAGTGATCCAGGGTACACTGGCATCCACAGTACTTGAGAGACAAATAGTTGCATGACTGTTACAGGCTAAAGTACCTGGAGGTGGCAAGAATATTTTCTGCACAGGAAACCTCAGGTTGATGCAGAATCCCATGGTGATCCCTTGGGCTGAGAGTTCTCTGCACTGAGTCACAACAAGGATAATAATAGTATGATAAGTTCTAATTGGCCACCTGTGAATCAATTTGTCATGCACTCCATTGGCTACAGCAGGTGTGGGGAATTGAAAATCACTTGTGGGAACTGGTAAAGACAGTAAGATGACTCCCTCCCATTGCTGAATCATGTACCAAGTCCTCTCAAGTGAATACTGAAATCTCAGACATGTGCCTCAAGGAGACGTCTATTCCTGCCTATGGAAGGTCTGAGAAACTGTGTGGCTTGGGAAGTGGTGTAACTGCTAGTAAATCAGTGTTGAGACCTTCAGCACTTACACACAACAAGAGATTAACTGAGGCAGCAGAGTGTAGCAGAATGCCTGTTTCACTTTAACCTAGATTCCTTACTAGTAGAAGTAGTTCATGCAGCTGAAAGAAGCCTAGGTTGGTGATAGCAAACCTATGGCACATGTGTTATTTGCATATGTGTTATTTGATTCTGCATCCTCTGAGGTTTCCTGTTTTTCTTTTAAGACAAAAGATGTTAATGTATGAGTTGGTTTTTTCCTAAACTAAAACGTCCGTATTCAGGTTTAATTACAGGTTGGCACTTTATGACAAGTAGGTTTAGGGTTAGTTTGGGCACTCATCTCTAGAAGTTTCACTAGTCTGTGGCCATACCACCTTGAACGCACCCAATCTCGTCTAAAAGGTTCGCCATCACTGGCCTAGGTTATCATGACACTTTATACAATACAGCGAAGATGTAGAGTATTAGTCCATGTCTTTATCATCTCTCCACGTCTTTTAGTTCCTAGCCTGTTCCCTGTAAGTAGTTGAACTGGAGTGATACACCAAAGACAGTATAGTTAAGTAAAATCTTGAGGGATAAATAGATATATCAAAAAAGCATTTGTGAGCTTTTGCATGGAGGAGTAAAAATATTGAACCCAAAACATATCGGATATATAAAAGATATAGCATAGTTTGTTGCATAACTGATTTTGTCATCCTCATCTCCAGGGTGGTAGAAATAACTTTTTCAACCTGCTGCTCAAAGGAGCATCATGAGATGATGATACTGGGGGACCAACAACTTTGCAAACTTCGTTTCCCCATTGTGATATTAGCTTATCATTCTCATTTGAGAGGAAAAATGAGCTGAGATTTTCTTAGAAGAGACTTTCCTATTTCCATTTTCTCATAGTTCCCAGCATTCATGGAATTATGTTTCCCAATCTACCACCATTGGTCATAAACTTAAGAAGGAAAGGGAAATACAGTATCTATTTTCCCCAAGTACATCTTCCAGGGTATGATCAATACATTATTACCTATCACAATAGAACACTTTTGTTTGACTTGCAAATGGATTTTAATTGACTGACCTCTCAAATATAAATTTGCTTTGGGTAATACCCATGTTCATGGTGCTTAATTGAGAGCACGTATGTTTTAAGAATTAATGTCTCTGTTAGCATTTCTTTTCAGAAAGCACCCAGGTTACTTTCTGAATCTTCAGTTTGTATTGTATAATGTTTAGGTTTGCAGAAAGATGAAGTTATCTTGTTACTGTGTTAGTTTCCCATGGGGAATGATACTTTTGGGGGTAAGTACTGGCAATCAAACTCAGGACCTTATGCTTGCCAGGCAGGCACTTCACCACTGAGCTAAATCCCTGGCGCAGTAATGATCCTTTGACTTACGTTTTCCTAATGATTTTTCCCCAATATAAAAAAAAAAGGCGAAGAAGAAAGTTTGAGTACAAAATGTATTAGCATAAAGAAAGTAAAAGAACTCTTATGCAAACCAAAACTAACATCTGTTTCCCTTGACTCCCAATAGTTGGAAAAGCCATCTATTACACATATAAACTTGGGGTGAAAGCCAGGTCAGTAAATGCGCTCAGACTCCCAGGCAAATTTTCTTCATAGAGGAATAGGAAAAGATGACAAGAAAGGAATAATAAATTACATTGCTAATAAATAATCACCTTTCTATTGGACAACCACAAGTGACCTTCATATGTAGCAATCCCCTCATGGTTAAGAATTTAAATTGGGTTTCCAAACTCACACTTCATGGAGGAATTTTCTCTAATGAGGCTTCCTAGGAAGTTGTCAGGATATATTCAGCTCTGTACACTGAGAAATGGTGGGGACGAGGAGGCCATGGAGACATCCCATTGTGACGACCGTCTTCCTTGAAAGGTTATATACTTCCTCCAGTTATCAGGAGTTCTTCTGTGCCCGTCACTGTGGCTGTCACCCATTAATGTAGCCCTCATCATTGGAACAATGACCAGAGGAGGAAGGTGAGGCCCTGGCTCCCAGGCAGAAAATATAGCAGGCATATTTACATTTTAAAACATTTTTATTCTTATATGTTTGTGATACATAATAAATATATTTGTCGGGGTATTGGTACATATACACAATGCATCTTGATCATTTTCACTTCATATTTACATTTTAAGTGAGAAGTCCCTTAACTCTGAAGCTACTTCTGCTGCCTCCCCAAGGGCTTAAAGATACTTTAGTGACCCTAGAGCTCCCCTTTCCCTTAGGACCATTTTTTTTTTTTTTTTTTACTTAGAAAAATCCAAACTGCTTCCTGGAAGGAGGGAAGTAAGACAAGGCTAGCTTGGCACAAAAATCTGAAGTTATAGGTCCTCCCGCATCCCTCTATGGAGTCTGCTTCACCCTCTCTCCTCCTGGAACTTCCCATACATTATTGGACAAGTTTCTTACTGTCACAAAGCCTCAGTTTCATGTCTCTGCAATGTGGGGATAATCATAGCACTTGTCTCTCAAAGATGGAATAAAGGATAGCACTCATGAGTTCATAGCACAGTCTGCCTTATAGAAGGCTTGCCATAACTTAGTATTTTCTGCATAAACACTTCACCGACAGAAAAGGAAATGGAGGCCTCAAGAGATGAACACTCTTGTCCAAGTTTAAAAGCACCAGGCTATGACTTTTCCAAGCACTCTGCTACCTGAATTGTCCTCTTGCATTATTAAAAATACTATGAAATACAAGGAAACTGAGGAGGAACCAGATTTTTAAAAACAGATGACACTGGGTATTAAAATAAATGTCTCAGCCTAGAAGTTAAAAGCTCTATCTTGAGCCATATAGAATTTCCTAGTAATAGTAAAAGTGTGTTATTAGAGTCATTTTTCAAATCCTAGAGATTTACAAGGAGATTCTTCGCATATCAATATTTTTAAAACTTCACATGATTTATGTCAACTTGTGTATTAATATAATCTGTGGCTTATGCAAATCCCACTTCACTCTGAATTCTGTATGTTATGAACTAAGTATTCAATTTTAATCTGTAAGAAACCTTGCATATGCTCGTATGAGGACCTCTTTTAAAAATAACTCACTCAATATTTGTGTTTGAATCATTTTGAAAGCAAGTATAAACCTTTCCTTTCATACTACAAAACGGGCCACACATAATTACAATAAAATAGTACAAAATAACATTTATGGGTTCCAAGAGCGCCTCTCTTGTGCTGTGAATTACTGTGTTGCTCTGGTAATGTGGCTGTAGCTGGGAATCATGAAGTCAGCTAACAAAATGCTGAGCAACAAATTAAATGACAATGACCTTGCCTTCCCAGGGCCCTTCACTTTGTGATTCTCAGGTACTGTAGCACAAGGAGGCCGGTGGCTGTCCCAACAAGCTTCGCGCGCTCCACCCTGTTGGAGGCTGAGGTGATGAAGGGGAAGCTGAGCTGCACAGAAAGCCTCCCGAGGGCAGAGCCATTATGGACGCCACTTTTCCAAGGCTCCTTTGGCTCAGAATTAGTGGGAACCTCTGAAATGTGTCCTTGGTGCTGGCTGCGTCTTGCCAGGGCCCCCATGCTGCCCTTGCGTGGGTAAGCAGGTCCGTGGAGCTGCGTGGCGGTTCGCACAGCTCGCCGGCTCTGGCCTGCCCTTCTTAAGAGCAGCTGAGTCCCACGAGGGTGCGTCCTGCCTTCTGGAGAGCGTGCCCCGCCTTCAGCTCTGTGCTTGGTCCTGCAGCATCTTCTGAAGTCGCTGCAGCGGCCGAGCCTGCCACGGACTCTTGGTAGGAAGGTGGGGCCTCTGCGTGGGCTTGATTTTCATCCTCGAGTTCGAGGCCCGTCTCTATGTACAGAGGTGGAGGGACATCCAAGGCCTCGCCCTCTGCAGCACGCGCCTGCTTCTCAGCATCCAGGCTCTCTTCATAAGCTGGAGGGTAAAAGTCTGGCCTGAAAGACAAAATGACAGAGACATACATGGATTATTTCAGCGTGAGTGTCAAAGAGGCTTGCTTATGTCTGCCTCTCTCGACTCACTGTATGAAGCTAAACTAAGAAACATTGTGTTACAAAACATTGATTTTTTTAAAAAAACAGATGTACGTTTTTTCTGGCATCACCAGGTGTTAAAAAAAATTGGTGTCCTACCAAAAGAACCCCTTTCCCAACCATGGGATACCTGTCTTTAGTAATATATATATATGTCTCTAGTGATATTTTCTCCAGCAGGGTATTCAGGTCTATTCCTTGTTGCTCACTCACTGATAGGAGCAGAGCCACTATTCAGTGTGAGATCCTTATCAGTGTGGAGAACACAGGGGCTTTGCCTGGACCCCCCGCTAGCCAGAATGTAGCCCATTCACATACTTGTTCCCGTCACACACATTTTCTACTCCACTGCAATCACTGTCTCAGATTTTCACAGCCAACAAAATAACTGATGAAAACCAACTATATGCAGGTCCTTGAACCGTACCAGAAGCCACACCACTTTTTTCCTAAAACTGTTTAAAGTCCCACCAGCTAGTTTCTAAAGAAAGCATACAAACACCCTCACTTATCAAACCATTTTCACCAACAACTTCATGCAGACTTTAGTTGCAGGCTTTCTGTGCCAACAGGCCCATGGTTCAAGAAGCCATTCACTCCAGGGCTAATGTACTCATTGGTCATCTTGCCCGACATTGCTAATTGCTAAATCCTTCTGGCTTCTCCATCATGAATGGGATTGGCAGGAGCAGGGAGATGAGGTGAAGAGCCAGGGAGGGGAGCTTGGTTGAGATGAGTATTTATAGATCAAGCTGGTCCAGTGCCTACAGGGAGTGTTTATGGTGTGTAACCACAACATGACAGGGACTGCCATTTGCGGCCACAGCTCCATTCCAAATGTCACTGGGTGCAGAGCCAAGTAGCTGAGGGAGATGTCTACTGTACAGCATAAATCTCAGCCTTCACTCAGAACATCCAAGGCTGAGTCATGGGACATGTGTATAAAGGCCCTGGGGACAGGAAGGTGAACTGTTCCCTAGAGCAATTTGACAGGCTCCAGGATGACTGCTGCCAGCCCCAAGAATCATCCTCTTGCAATCCCATCTTCTCATCACCTGCTGTAGTTCCCTTTCCCAGGCCACTGAAGTCCGCCTTTGGAGAATCACCTGCTCTGGCGTCTCTACCGGGCTAACTACTGGAGTGCAAAGCTTCTAAGAAATATAACTTTCCAGTTTGACTTGTTAGCCATTCTGAGAGGCTGAGAATCTGAGAATGCAACAGAAGAGGTGGTAAAATGGGAGTCATGTTATCCACGATTCACTTTCAAGTATTCCAGTATAGACAATGTAATAGCATGCGTGTGTTCATAAATTGAAGCTACATCCTAAAGGCACATAGTTACTCTTATCATCTAACATTTACCCCAAAATAGAAATCATCACTCTAGATGCAGTTTCTATAATTACTTACATTATCTTATTTTTCCATCTAACCCAGAGACCTTGCTGGTTTCTCTAATAAACATGGACAATGGGTTTGTAATAATGGCTGTCAAAAATGTACCATTGTAGGTCAGATTATTTATGTTCAAGATAAACTGAGTAGGTAAAACATTTTAGATACTCCTATCCCTGCATGATGAACTCTCACAGCTTATACCTTAAGGGTGATCCTGAGATTTTCATCTAAGTGGTCCAGTGTTCTGCCAAGAATTAGAAGGTTTATGGTTAGCTACCCCATAAGGTTAACTGAATCATTTTTTTCTTGTGGTAATATTAATTCTATGGTGGGGCCACTTACATATATAATGTATATTTTATATATAATAAAATACACTATTTTAAGTGTACACTGAGTCATATTAAGTATACTCGAATGGTTGTGCAACCATTATTGAAACTTCCCTATTACCCCAAACTGACACAAAGTCATTAGATAATAACGTCCCATTCTCTTCTCCCCACCCCCACCGGCCTGGGAACCATTGTCCTTCTTTCCTTGTGCATTTGATTACTCTAGGTACTTGAAATAAGCAGAATCAAACAATATTTGTCCTTCATGGATGATTAATTTCACTCAGCATAATCCTTTCAAGGCTCATCTGTGTTGCAGCATGCACCAGGATTTCATTACTTTTCATGGCTGAGTAATACTTCATTGTGTGTGCATACCGCATTGTGTTTATCTGTTCACTGTTGATCAACATTTGGATTGTTTCCACCTTTTGGCTCTTGTTTGTGAGCAGTCCTGCTGAAACATTGTTGGATAAGCATCTGTTTCAGGTCCTGCTTTCAATTCTTCTGTGTATACACCTAGAACAGAATTTCTGGCTCAAATGGTAATTCTATGTTTCATATTTCAAGTGTCCTTACAATGGCAATATCATGTTACATTCCTACCAAACATGCAATGGTGCCAATGTCTTTCCATCCTTGACAACACTTCTTTTACCTTGGCAATAGCTGATTTAGCAGGTGAGGTGAACTGAATCTTACCTTTAGGATATGATCATCTTGCCCTGAATGACTCTTTCAGACAAGGTGAGATCAGAACAGCTAAGAGGACAGTAGCTGGGACTTCCCCGAGTCACAGAGATGGCAGGACTGATTTTGTGTCTGCAGGCCCATAGGTTCTGTGGCAGAATTTGTTCTGGGATTTGTTTGCCTTATAATTTGGTGACCAGGTTACAGGAAACAACTGATCATCACCTGCCTCTGACTAATGACAGCTTCGGGGCTATCACAGAAGAACCTAGAGCCTGGGCTCCTTAAATTGGCTTTAGAGATTGTTCAACAAGAGTGGCAATGAAGGTGGTGGTGCTTCTTTAAGAAAATTCCCCTTTCCTTAAGGTTTTTCACCAAAAGCAACACCGTATTTTCCCTAATAACTAGCCCCAGAGTCACTGCCCAACCACAGAGCTGCGGTTCTAGATATACAGCTCCATGGGACGTGTAAGTCGCTGCCCATAGGATTAGAAATCACTCAGCTTCCCACACCTCAGTCCTTCTCAGCTCTCATCATTGCTTCTGGCTCTTGGCACGTACCTGTCCACCGTGGCCAGGGGCAGGTCCCTGTGAGCAAGGTGCTGTCTGAGCACATGGCCGAACACGCCTTTGCTTTTGCTCGCTTGCTGGTAGGTGCTCCAGAAAATCCCACTCAGAAGCATCCCGAACCCCAGAGGCAGAAGCAAGTACGCCAGGACCAGGTTCTTCTGACAGTGGAATATGGAGTCAGAGGAAATGAAGAAGGCTCCCAGGCAGATCATCAGGAAACCAATCAGGAGGCCCAGAGCACAGAGAACTAGGCCAGTTCTGTTCTGCATCCCTGCTCCTCCGGATCTCAGCAGCCTGACCTTGCCACTCCTTTACTTCCAGGCTGGCTGAAGGAGAATCCGCTCATTAGCTGGCTTGCAGCTTTATACACTCGGGACCCAGCTGGCCTTTGGACAATTAAACGAAGCAGGGACTGAGAAGCTACTCATTAACCCCTGAAAGTTACTGTGATATCCGGGGAGGATGAACCTCAAAACATCACACTGTGTACTACAGGAAGGGCGGCTACCTGTAACCTGTGGCACTTAGGGCTGGTGGGTGAGACCGCCAATAGCTCACAGGTGTGTGAGGAAAGGTCTCTCATCTTTTGACTCAGAGAGCACTGGTCTCTGAACCACAGCCCCCTCCCCGCAAGGGTAATTTCTCACTAAAAGTTAGAGAAATTAGCGTTCCTTATGAACTAACTTCTTTGTGATGTGGCAAGGACTCCTCTCCCAATTTTTTTTTTTCATTTTGCACTGAAAAAGTATTTCTTGCAGTCTCCTTAACATCTTGTCTTTCCTACCTCAAAAAAAAATCCTGCCTGTCACCAACACACTCTCGTTCTAAAAAAAATACTAAGAAAAAAGTTCAGGTTGTGAAAAGCTTGAGTCCTTTTCTGCTGACAAGAAGAATTTTACAGGACAAGGAGAGTGCTTTTGAGGACATTAAGAGACAGAGCTCTGGGAATCTGGAGGATTTCCTGAGAAGCTTGTAGAGGAGGATACTTTGGCAGCTTGTAGTTTTGAATCCTTACCCCTGTTGGGGCCAGCCCATGGTCACTTCTGCTAACACATAAGTTCGTTGCATAGTTTTTGCTTATTGTTCAAGCACTGGCCCCAATTCCTGGCTCACCACAAATACTTGAACGTGCTCTCAAATGAGGCCATCAGCACTGGAGATAAGAACATTTCCCAAGGAGTGTCCCATGTTACCTCTTCGATGCAAAACAAATAAATACTTTGCTAGAAAGCTGCCTATTACTTCCCCACCCTACCTCCCACACACACTTTAGAGTTTCCCACAGCGCACTAGCATATTAAATGCTCCGAAAACTCCTGCAATCACTTCTTTCTAAGACACATGTTAAGTGAAATTTATTTTAGTACATGTTGCTAAGGATTTTTTTTTACTGTCTTCTCCCTCACATCTTTGTTCTATGTAGCATTGTGTTAAAAAAAAAAAAATCTTTCCAAAACCAGCCTTCATTTCTCTGCCTGGAATTTGCTGACTTCTTGCAACTGCCTTATTCCTGATCTGGCTCATGCCCTGATTTCTCTCCAACCTTTTTCTTTTTCTTTTCTTTTCTTTTTTTTTTAATTTGAAGCTTTGGCATATCCCTTACAAGAGTCTTCTTCCAAGAAGGACCCTGGGTCATATGCCGTGAGAAATTGTCTTCAGTTTCTCTTTGCTTCCCCTTCTCCACTCCACTACCAAGGGTTTTCTATGTGCTTTCCCAATGGGAAAGCAGTTGTGCAGAGCACTAGTAGTGCCATGAATACTCTTGAGCCTCACATTCACCATCTCCTTAGCTCCAGCTTCATATCAGGGGTAGAAATGAGAGGAGGATGCTATGGATTAAAAATGATATAAGGATATCAGACACATCCGCATCCTACCACTTAATACAGTGTTACCTCAGTTCACGAACTAAATTTTTTCCATGATTCTGGTAATATTTGTGTTCATTCAGGAAAGATAGCAGCAGTCATGTTCTTCACCCAAAGCAGAGTTCTCAAAAAACTTTTCCCAAACACATCTATTTGCAAACCAAGTTTTTCACAAACAAGTGTTCAAAGTATTCATGAACTGAGGTGCCACTGTGCTTATTTTTATTTTTATTTTTTTAATTTTTTTGTGCTTATTTTTATTAGTTTCAGTTTTCAACCCTGAACTACTTCCATTTTCTATACTTACATTATCTTTATTGTCCTAAAACAACTTTTTCTCCTTCCTTCTTTACTTGGTCTTCAGATAACTGGTTTTCTAAGATGAGTCCTATCTCCTGGTATCCACATCTACATGTGAGTAATTCTTTCTCCTTGAATGTGGGTTAGACCTTGTGACTAGATTCTAGCCAATAGAATATGGCAAAGAAGATACAATATCACTTTCATGATTAGACTACAAATAATTATGACTTCCATCTTGCCAGCTATGAATTTCTCATTGCCTTCTTGGCTTGTGCCCTTTGAAGAAAGAAGCTGCCATATTGGGGAAGTCCATTTGCCAAGGAACTGGAGGGAGTTTATGAACAGCAGTTAATAAAAACAGAGGCCTTTAGTCTACAAGCCCATGTGGAACTGTATCCCGGCACCAAGCATATGAACTTGGGACCACCTCCTTGCCCAGTTGAGCCTTGAGATGAATCCTATAAGCAATACTTTTGTTGAAAAGTCCTAAAGCAGGGGACCCATTTAAATGATACTTATATTCCTGAGCCACTCTTAGTTATTTTTTCTTGTGACTGAGATAAAATACCCAGCACTCACAAGTTGAAGAAGGAAAGGTTTATTTTAGCTCATAGTACACAGAGGTTTCAGTCCATAGTTGACCGGCTCCAAGGCACGGCAGCATACCATATGGGCATCACAGAAAAGAACCAACTCATGGCATGGCAGGCAACAGGCAGCAAGCTGTAAGCAGCAAGCAGCAGCAGCAGCAGGCCTTCCTTCATTTTTTCTCTTTATATTCCATCCAGACTACAAGGCTATTGATTAGTGCCACCTATGCCTAGGGAAGGGTTTCCATTATCCACACTCTTAATCTCAGTATCCAACATTTAATCCACATTCACACACCCTAATCCAGCTACTTTCAAAACTCCCCACCTATGACCACTGTGCTTAGGGGATTTGAGTTTATTTAGGGTGAATTGGGGAACCAACAGAGAAAGTATAGGAAAATCTGTGGTATATGAGGGAAGTAGAGAAGAAAAGGGAAAAAATGAAGTGTAACTGGGAGATATGTGTTTCCTTCATGAAGATTAGTAAACACTAGGGGACTGGGGATGTAGCTAGTGGTAGAGAGCTTGTCTAGAGTGCTGGGTTCCATTACAAGCACTACAGGTAATGAAGGAAAGAAGGAAGGACAGAGGAAGGAAGGAAGGAAGGAAGGAAGGAAGGAAGGAAGGAAGGAAGGGAGGAAGAAAAAAAGGAAAGAAAGAAAGGCAGGTAATATTGAGGTTATTTGTGTGTTTGTCTTTATTACTGTTAAGTACATGTTACTAAGTATACTATTTTTACTGTGCCTCTCTTTCAGTTATGAGCCACCTGGTATCACTGTTCTATAAGCATTATGCCCATTTTGATGGTTCAAAAATTATCAAGAATCACTAAAACCAATGACTTATAGTTTTAAACAATTGTTACTACTGTTATTACACGGAGTTTTCCACTCTTTGTAAAATAGTATACTCTCTTTACCTAGAGTCACTAGCAATAAAGGTATTTTTTTAAAAAGAAGGTAAATATATGCTTGTTTTAATGATGCTGAAATATCTCAAACACTAAGAGGGGGCACCCTGTTCTTTGGGCATCTGAAAAGAGTAGAAGAAATCCAATCAGAAGAACAGCTATAACAGAAGAGAAAAGAAGCCAGATCATCAGAGCTGGGGGAAAATAAAAACAATCTAAGAAAGGATTAAACTCTTAGAAGTTGCATTAAAGGGTCAGCTTCAGGAGCTCCTGGACCCTTTGGGTGAGTTTTCTCAGGCTCATCCAGACTGGGTCAGCCTTTTCTCCTAGGCCAGCTCTCCTGTCCTTGTTCTTCTTGCCACTCGTGAGCACTGATTGTGTGGTACAGATGTGGAGACTGCAGCAAAGAGGGACAGATCATCCACTGGGTTCGCATAAACAGCATGGTACTGGTGGGGAAGTGCATACTCTGAGAAAAGAGTTACAAAGACCCAGTGGAAGCCAACCCAAACTCCTCATCCTTGTTCCCATACTCTCCACAAGGGAGCCAGTGAGGAAATGATGTCTTACTTTTAAAGCAGAACATTTCTTCTTCTTAAAAGTTTACCGATCAACAGAAGCTTCTGCCTTCTCACTAGGCAAATGTTTAGTTGCCTACTGAGGCAAAAATTTAGTTATCGGCCAGATGTCTGAGAACATCAAGACTGTTCCATTCTCTATTCCTATGAGCATGGCGGACCTGTGAGTGCTGTCCTAAACATTGTGTGTGGTCAAGTTCCAGGCACTGTTTGGCCTTCCTATCTACACCAGAGCCCCTGAGCCTCCCTCTGTTCTCAACTCTCCAGGCCACACATAACTGTTTTGGAACACTACAGTCCTCTGTGCTACAATTTATGTCTCCTAGACATGTGACTCTTCCCCTTGAAAGCAGTAACAGCATATACCTCCAAGTAAGACTCCTATGGGGATTTTGCAAGAAAGCTAATGGTATGTAGAAGCTGTATCATAGAAGAAGCTGGAACCAAGAGCTGAGGCAGATTTCAGAAGTTCACTTTGGTTCAGGAAGTAAGCTTGTGGGGGTGGATGGGGGGGTGAGCATGTGTGTAACTGGAGATGTTGCCCAGTGTGACTGAGTGATTTCTGGATTAGCCTTTCACACTTCAGGGTTCACTGAGCACTAACCACTTCCTCCTTCTTGTTTTCTTGGCTTTTGTATCTTCTCCCCCATCACTCCCTTGTTGCTTCCCCAGTCAGAAGAAGATTTAAATGAAGGGATTTCTGAGGTTGGCAAAGGACAAATAGCCCCTCAGAAAATGCAGGTGCTGGGTGGAAGGTGAGACTCCCACTCCCTTGAATTAAGACCTATAGGTCTCCAGGATAGATGAACCCCAAGCAGAACTGGATGGGATTCTCAGACGTTTGCCCAGGGTATAAAATTTGTGGATGAGAGGAGTGGCAAAAACTTAGTAATTAAGTAAAATCATTGTATATTCCAGCAATAGTTTTTTTAAAAAATCAAACTGGCAGACTATGGTTCCCAGGCCAGTTGCTTGTTTCTGTAAGTAAAGTTTTTGTCAGGAATTTGGGTCATGTCTGTGAACCTAAGAAGAAAACAAATTTCATTTTAGTGAGAGTTCAGCTTCCAATTTAATCCATAGATAAACAAGAATATATTTCATTTCATTGAGGATTCTTA